CAGTCTCCACATCTTTTTTACATCGTGGCGAAACAAAACTGAACACAGTACTCCAAATGGAAGATCTACATTGGCCACTTTATGCATACTACAGGTAGTCCTGAACTTACAACAGTCAGTTTAGTGACTGTTCAAAGTCACAACGGCACTGAAAAAAGTGACTTATGACCAGTGTTCACACTGAGGGCCGTCCTAAGCATCCCCATGATCACGTGATTTACATTTGGATGCTTGACAACTGACTTGTTTATGATGGTTGCAGTGTTCTTGTGGACATGTTATCATTTTGGGGTGACCTTGTGATGAGCAAAGTCAATGGGGAAACCAGATTCACGTAACAACCGCGTTACTAATTGAACAACTACAGTGATCCACTTAACAACTGTGAGGAGAAAAATCATAAAATGGGGCAGAACCCACTTGACAAATTTCTCACTTAGTGACATAAATGTTGGCCTCAATTATGGTCATATGTTGAGGACTATCTGTACACAATCGTGCCCAGGAAGAGGATGGGTGTATGTTATCATTTGTCCATCCAAAGTGATATAAAGCAGAATGCTGTGGGATTTCAGGATTATAGGAAGCAAGTAAGTCCTCTTGAAATGTGTTGTCCCTACCCGGGGTGGTGTTCAAATTTTTTTACTACCGGTTCTGTGGGCATGGCTTGGTGAGCATAGCTTGGTGGGTGTGGAAGGGGAAAGTTACTGCAAAATCCCATTCCCTCCCCAACACACTAACCTGCTTTCCAGCTCCGTTCTCCTGTGCAGGGCAACAAAAGAAAACCCAGCCAATCAGCTGGGACTTGGGAGGCAGAGAAGAGATGGGGGCGGGGCCAGTCAGAGGTAATATTTGCTGGTTCTCCGAACTACTCAAAATTTCCACTACCAGTTCTCCAGAACTGGCCAGAACCGGCTGAATACCACCACTGGTCCCTACTCTAAAAGTCTCCCGTATTTTGGGAAGAATGGCATTGTGGAAGTATGTCCTGAGTAGATAACCATCAGGAGAAACCTGCCCATTTCTCAAATAGGAGGCCAGTCAAGCATGGCTGGAGGAAAAGAGCCATTTAGAGAACCAAGTGGTGACTTTCTTCCCTGCCCCAGTTTTTTCTTTCTCTCTCCCCCGCCCCCCCGGCTTCTTCACCCCCTATACCCCCATCCTTTTTATTTTCTAAAACTGCTTATGTTACGTTTCAGGAAATAAAAATGGGATACTTGGTTGAATACTTCCTTGGATATATTTTGATTTGATTTATGATTTATGCTATTTCTGTAGCTGCCCATCTCAACCAATGGTTGTGGTTAGGGTAGGATTCCAAACCTATAAAAACAATTTAAAACCATAAGAACATTTAAAACAGTGAAAAACATCCGAAATAATGCAAGCAGCCAAGAGAAATAACAAGCTAACAGTAAAGCCAATAAATGGGACTCACTCAGGTACACTGCCAAGTTTTTTAAGCTTTTCGAAAGGCCAGCAGGGTTGAGGATTTTGCTTTGGGCAGGCAGCCTTCCTTTTCCATTTTGGTTTCAGATTCACTTAATTGTTACATAACCTTAAAAGCAGCAGTATGCCAAGGGGAATGCCAGCTGCTAGATTAGTGTCCATAAGCCAGAGGTGGTATTCAGCAACTTCTGACCAGTTCTGGAGAACCAGTAGTGGAAATTTTGAGTAGTTCAGAGGACCAGCAAATGCCACCTCTGACTGGCCCTGCCCCCATCTATTCTCTGCCTCCCGAGTCCCAGCTGATTGGCTGGGTTTTCTTTTGTTGCCCTGCACAGGAGAACGGAGCTGGAAAGCAGGTTAGTGTGTTGGGGAGGGAATGGGATTTTGCAGTATCCTTCCCCTACCATGCCACACCCACCAAGCCACGCCCACAGAACTGGTAGTAAAAATATTTGAATCCCACCACTGCCATAAGCATTGTGTAGAGTGTCGTGCCCAGTGGTGGGATTCAATTTTTTTTACTACCGGTTCTGTGGGCGTGGCTTGGTGGGTGTGGCAGGAGAAGGATACTGTAAAATCTCCAGTCAGAGTTCTCCAAACTACTCAAAATTTCCGCTACTGATTCTCCAGAACTGGTGAGAACCTGCTGAATACCACCTTTGGTTGCGTCCCTCACACAAAGGAGGGAAATGGGTTTAAGTCAGTGGTGGGATTCAAATTTTTTTACTACCAGTTCTGTGGGCATGGCTTGGTGGGTGTAGCAGGGGAAGGATTCTGCAAAATCTCCAGTCAGAGGTGGTATTTGCTGGTTTTTCTGAATTACTCAAAATTTCCACTACCGTTTCTCTAGAACTGGTCAGAACATGCTGAATACCACCTCTGGTTTAAGTGCAGTGCTGTTGGACCAATGAAGGCATTTTTCCTCCATCTTAGATTTCACAAACCTAGTTTCCCAGATTGCATATGTACCAGAGGTGGTATTCAGCAGGTTCTGACCAGATCTGGAGAACCAGTAGCAGAAATTTTGAGTATTTCGGAGAACCGGCAAACACCACCTCTGACTGGAGATTTTACAGTATCCTTCTCCTGCCACGCCCACCAAGCCACGCCCACAGAACCAGTAGTAAAAAAAATAATGAATCCCACCAGTGATATGTAGGTTTGCTTGAAAAATGCATGTGCCATGTCTGGGCCTATATTGGAAATACCCACAGAGAATGTATTATCCTTTTGGGTGGTAGGTCCCAGAGTTGATTTCTGTCTGCCGTGATCAATATGCTCTCACTTAAGTGGGTCTGCATTGGACATCCAAAATGCCCAGAGGCCTACAGCTGCGTGATCATAACCCCACCTCCATATTGATGTATACATGAAAGGAGGTTTTGATCACCTCATTGTGAACGCCATCTTGATTTTTGCAAATGGCAATAAATGTCGCCTGTTTGTCAAGCACTGGAAGAAGTGGGTTGGGGGGGGGGAGACAACTATGAGAACTTTGAATCAGGGTTCAAAGTAACCCCCCTCCCCCAGTAGGTCTGTTTGAACTTCAAAGGATTTTAAATCAAGGACTACATAACAGTGTTTCTCAGCCTTTGGCAACTTGAAAACATGTGGACTTCAACTCCCAGAATTCCCCCAGCTAGCCATGGTGACTGTGGGATTCTGGGAGATGAAGTCCACCCATGTTAAGTTGCCCAGGCTGAGAAATACTGCACTATAGGAATCATGGGAGTGTTTGTAGAGCTAGAATTGTAGGATCTAACCTATTGTGAGTCCAAGCTTCCATTCTGGGTTCCTTGCAGCTCTGGAAAGGTGTGTGTGTGTGTGTATTTTAAAACACTCATTTTAAAATATTCCTCCAAAACTGAAATCTCTTGGACTGTTAAGCATAGAGGATAGAAGCGGAGAAAACAAAAGGAAGGCCGCATTTGCAATGAAGGAAACTCACTGATGTTTTCAAAAGCAGAAGCGCACCCGATCCATGAAAATTAAATTAAAAAGTGCTTATGTGGGGGAGAAAGAGATGAGTCATTGATAAAATTAGAACAGCCCCAGCATCACTGTGGCATGAGGATGCAACAAAAGAATAATGGATCAAGTTAAAGGTCGTTCATGTGATTGCATTTTTTTTCTTGTTAGAGGCGGATTGGAACGTCCAAGTTCATGCACTGTAGATATATATAGAGAAGGGCTTAGAAAAACAGCATCCAAAATCACACAACATTCTAGCATTCTTGCCTTATTCAGGGACGAGATTCAGTCTGGAATGGGATATTATTTGGAAGGGAGGGAGAAAAGCTTCTTCTCCATCAATGGTCTGAATCAGAGGTGGTATTCAGCAGGTTCTCACCAGTTCTGGAGAACTGGTAGCAGAAATTTTGAGTAGTTCAGAGAACCGGCAAGTGCCACCTCTAACTGGAGATTTTACAGGATCCTTCCCCTGCCACACCCACCAAGCCATAACCACAGAACCGGTAGTAAAAAAAAATTGAATCCCACCACTGGTCTGAATCACCAGTAGGCTGTTTCATCAGAAGGGCTAACAGTAGGACAGGGGTGTTGAACTCAATTTCATTAAGGCTGCATCAGGGTTGTGCTTGACCTTGGGTGCCAGGGTAAGCGTGACCAGGGTAGGCATGTTCAGTTCAACGTCACTCAATTGTTAAATTGTCCCCTGGTGAATTGTCCCATGGCAAGTTGGCTGTGGCAAGTTATCCCACGGTGAATTAGTCATGGCGAGTTGGCAGTGATGAGTTGG